ATGACAAATGGTTTTCTGATGTTGACATTTCTGTTGCTGTAGGATACACGTCTGATGTAGTACCAGTTCTGAATGATCTTTGGGTATGTGTACCATGGATTTCTGAAGATGATGGGGTTATTGATGAGAGTTGTGATGTTGGTGAACTGGATTTAGCTATGGATGGAGTCACTGATGATGGTTGTGCAGATGAATGGGTTTTAGCTGAGGATGATACTACTGATGACAATCCTTTCATTGTTGAATGGGTCTCTGATGAAGTTTGTGTTTCTGCTGACACTTGTGTTGACGGTGGATATCCTTCTGATGAAGTCTTAGTTGTTGGTGATATGTGTGTTGTTGTTGGATTGCTTTCTGTTGATGTCACAGTTTTGGATGACAGATTAGTTGTTAGATGTGTCACAGACGAAGCCCCAGTCACTGCTGACACCAGTGCTTCACTTGAAGTGGTTTCTGCTGTTGACTCAGTGCTGTATGGTAATTGTGTCATTGTTAGACGACTTTCTGTTGAGGTCAAAGTTTTGAGTGACACGTTACTTATTTTTGGATGTGTTACTGATGGTGTCTGAGTTACAGATGACACTAATCCTTTTCTTGAAGTGGTTTCTGCTGGTGATTCAGTGCTAGATGATAACTTTGTCACTGTTGGCCGGCTTTCTGATGACAATCGTGTCATCAGTGTAACTGCAGTGTTTCCTGAATGAGATTCAGACGAAGATTGTCCTGAAGAGGTTAATTGCGATGATTCCTGAGTGACCTTTGATGGGGTCTCAGTTATTGACGATACTTGTGTCACTACTGGATGGGATTCTGAAGAAGGCCCAGTTATGGTAGATACATGCGCTGTTGTTGGATTGCTTTCTGATGTTGAAGAAAGTGTTGATATACTCTGTGCTGACAAATGGTTTTCTGATGTTGACATTTCTGTTGCTGTAGGATACGTTTCTGATGTAGTACCAGTTCTGAATGGTCTTTGGGTATGTGTACCATGGATTTCTGAAGATGATGGGGTTATTGATGAGAGTTGTGATGTTGGTGAACTGGATTTAGCTGTGGAAGGAGTCACTGATGAAGTTTGTGGAGATGAATGGGTTTTAGCTGAGGATGATACAACTGATGACAATCCTTTCATTGTTGAATGGGTCTCTGATGAAGTCTGTGTTTCTGCTGACACTTGTGTTGACGGTGGGTATCCTTCTGATGAAGTCTTAGTTATTAGTGATACGTGTGTTATTGTTGGATTGCTTTCTGATGATGGCACCGTTTTGGACGACACATTACTTGTTGAATGTGTCATTGATGAAGTTTCAGTCACTGGTGACACGAATGCTTGTCCTGAAGTGATTTCTGCTGTTGACACAGTGCTGCTGGAGAATGGTGTCATTGTTGGCCGGCTTTCTGATGATGATTGCGTCATCAGTGTAACGGCAGTGTTTTCTGAATGAGATTCAGACGAAGATTGTCCTGAAGAGGTTAAATGTGATGATCCATGAGTGGTCTCGAATGGGGTCTCAGTTATTGATGATAGTTGTGTCACAAATGGATGGGCTTCTGAAGAAGACCCAGTTATGGAAGATAGATGCGCTGTTGTTGGATGGCTTTCTGATGTTGAAGAAAGTGTTGATGTACTCTGTGATGACAAATGGTTTTCTGATGTTGACATTTCTGTTGCTGTAGGATAC